TCTATCTATCTATCTATCTATCTATCTATCTATCTATCTATCTATCTATCTATCTATCTATCTATCTATCTATCTATCTATCTATCTATCTATCCTTTTGGGACGAGGATTATCAGAAAGAGTTGTGTGTCTTTTAGCTTCTGCTTGTTCCGCTGCCCACATAAACATGTAAACAGAATGAGCAGTAGAATAATATGCACATTCGTGGGAGAAGCTTGCACCAGTGTTTTTTCTATCATTTGTGTTTACTATATGGTGTATATTTTAAGTCAGTAGCTAAATAGTGCCGCTTAGTGGATAAAGATCAGCGGCACACTCATTCGCTGTATGCTTGTACAGCATTGTCAAGATGAGTTGGTGTAATACTCACCGTCAACACTACTTAGCAGGTGTGTACGTGTGTTGCAGTACCCGGAGAGAACCCACGCAAACACGTGGAGAATAAGCAAACTCCACACAGAAAGGCCCCGGCCTGATGGTGGAAATGAACTCAGGCTTGCTGCGAGGCAACAGTGCTAACCACCATGCCACCTTGCTGCCCCATATATCTAACCAACTAACAACTGCAGTAGCTCTATATCAATTTGACCTCCGGAATAATCTACTGATCTTGAGGGAGAGGTCAGAGGTAAAATGTGACATGACACGATGATTTTTGATAAATTAATTCTTAAGCTGACCTTGAAGACCTTGGTGGATGTGAGCTACATTTTAATGGATTGTGAACATTACATCATCTACACCCCTACAAAGTTTTATCATAATTCATTCAAAACCTTTGGCACTATCGTGTTTACAGACTGAAAGTATGACGTGCACATATGCATGCAAACGCTACTAAAACTTTCTTCTCTCCACCTCCTATGCAGAGGTGGAGAGAAGGCTCAAGACTTTTGATCAGTGCAACACCAAAAGTCATTATTTCACCTCCAGATAGCTCACAATATAGCTATTAGGCTAATACAGTATGTGCTTCTTACTTTTTTAGCAGATGACATCACATCTATCTAATATTAGCTAGATGGACTAGCTACATAGCAGAAATTGTGAAATCCCATGTGAACAGGCTTAGAGTCTTATATCACTAGATACTCTGGGACTTTGCTAATTTTTCCAAATTCAAGGTTTATATCCAAAGACAACAAACATTGTCTGGTTCAGTTTACTCTATATTAATGTAAGTGGAAAGCTATTCCTTAATTGATAACTTATCATTCCTCTCTGGGATGCTCTTACCAAACCAATCACATAATTAGTCTGCCTCATTAGTTGATACCAAAAAAGGAAAAGGAAATGCAAAATCTCTCGGTCCAAACATTTAACATTTTCAGATAGATATTAAGTATCTCACATACGTACGAGAGCTTTTCAAATGAAAAGACTCTACCTTTCATCAAAGTTATCCAAGGAAAGAAGTCTGTGATCATCCACTTTATTTTGTGGTCTTTCAGGTCTTTTGGTTTTGCTGAACTCGCCAGTGTATTTCTTTTTAAGAAGGTATCAGTTCATTGATCTGGCCACTCCTGAAGGTTTTGCCATCTCTCTGATGGATGTATTTGGGTTTTAGTGTAATGATTGTTGTTGTTTTTTCACTTGCATCAATATCTCTTTGGAACTCATATTGAGATTTCCAGTGAAGAGTAACCAAATACAAGTTCAGCACTTGGAATGAACTGCAGATCTCCTTGATTTGTCATGGAGTATTCATGAAGCTCCTGAAAATGGGGCACTATGTATAAAAAGTGCTGTAATTTCTAAACAGTGTCTGCAAAGGGTTTGTTAAACACAGTGAATTAAAGATGAAAGTGTGCACTTCAAGCACATATTGATTGTCTGATTTAGAATCCACTGTGCTTTCTAAATTAATCAATCGTTGTGAACAGAGACTAAGACTAACAGAGACTAATAATGATATAGCGGCGCAGTGGTTACCACTGACACTTAAACGCAAGAAGGTCCAGAGTTTGAATCCACCAGCCAGCTGAGACCTTTCTGTGTGGAGTTTGCATGTTTTTCCTGTGTAGGTTCACATTGAATTGTGGATTATGATCTTGGATTGGGTAAGCAGAAGGATTATGACTTAAAATTGGGTAAACAAATTAATTCTGCTTAAAAAAAAGAAAATGCAGCTCCTCACCTTCTTAATAGAACCCATAAAATGGAGCATATTCCCCCTGTCCTGACCTCCCTTCACTGGTTCCTGTGTATTTTACAATTGATTTTTGATGTTGCATTGTATGTTTGAATCAAGCTATCTCAGCCATAAGCGCAACATTTGTTTGAGTCCACCTTTGAAACGAGCTTTTCTTCTTTTGCTTTGACCCAGCATAAGAGTTGAAGGCATTAAGGCTGTTTTGTGTTTTTTTGCAGTCCTTTTAGGTTGATGTGTGTGGGCATGTGCGCACATGTGTATATCTTGTATTTTATTATGTAATCCACCTTTTTATGTACAGAACTTCGGCAATCTTTGTTGTTTAAAAGATGCTTTATGAAAATTGGAAAAATCATTTTTAAGATAGAACTATGACTTACTGTAATGTAGTAAATCAAACTATTGAACTTATAACAAAAAAGTACTAGCCCAGTATTTTATTATTTATCTTTAAATTGTTAATTCTGATCTTTTTTCCATTCACATTTGGAGAAACATCACACTTAATAGGAGCTGACACTGTGATCAGACAGTCAAGTGTAATACATTTGAGATGTTCAATATTGACGATGGTTGTCATTTTTTTAAAATAAGATTCACAGTATCTCTTTTAAATATCGCTGCTGACACGATCGCTAACACCCCTGACACAAAACAAACTGAGCAAGCAGCACAATAATGATATCCTGATCTGCGGGAGAACACTTAGAACTAGTTCCTGAAACATTAGCATTTGCCATTTCAGCTTGCTAACTGTATAGCGCCACCAAGTGGATTAGATTCGGTGACTAACTTGAAATAGACTCATTCATTATAATTTATGCTTCCACAGCATTACGATGCATCCAGTCATTTAAAGGAAAGGGAATGCAAAATTCCAGAATAACGCGCCATATACACAGCAAGAAATATTGCATCATTTACTTTTGTAGAGACTGAAACGGCCTTGGAGCCATAAACCAAACACTCGCCGTCTTTCTATTATTAATCCTAAGTGTATTCCTTGGCTCTGGAACTTTAACTGGAAGTGCTGTCAGTGATGTTTTCCCTACAATGAAAGGTAAATTTTAGGAAGTGATGTGCTGATTATTCATTCCTAGCCAATGGTGTCCAGCCACGATTTTCGGGTCTAGGCATATGTTGAAGAAACTGATTGGACAACATGTACCGTAGACTGTATTGTGATTGGTCGACGGTCGTGCGTGGTGCACAGCCATTGGTCGGTAGTCACGGGGTAAGGCGAGTGGACTCTTTTGGTGGGAGAGACAGCTAGTCATTCCTCGTTGTAAAAGCCAGTGCTGCATGCGCTGATCTCCCGGCTATTGTCTCAGCAACTGAAGGCTCAAGTCGTCAGGCAGGCAGGCAGTCAGTCAGGAAGCATCTCACAATGAAACGAGTCTGGGTGATAGGGCTTCTTTTTGCACTCTTAGCATTTGGTGAGTAGTGGTATTTTTTTAATTATTCATTATTTTAGCTACCTTTAGCCCGTATGCTAGCACTAACTTGGTTTTTGCTTTTCTTTTCATTCACTGTGGAGTTTGTACGCTCTCTCTGTACTTGACTTTAAAAGGCTTGCAGGTGTCAAAGCAACGGAGAGCGTATTTAATTTACCTGTTATTTTAGAGTAACGCCAGTGTCCGTTAATCTCCTTGCCTTTCCAGAACTTTCTAGCAGAAACACCACCTGTGTTGAAGCCGTCTCATGTTAGCTAACCTCCACTGTTGCATACATGCACGTTTAAATAATGATTAAAAGGCTGACACGGTCAGACGTTACGTCTTAATTAATTTGGTGACTGTGAGCATGTGTTTGCACAGTGCTTTAAAAACTTAATGAGTCTAAAATTACCACATGTTCCCGGTAATTGATAATGAATTTTAATCGAGCAACTTCGTCCCTTGACAGCTGCTGTAAAGGCAGATGATGAATTTGACGTTGACGGGACAGTAGAGGAGGACTTGGGTAAAAGCAGGGATGGCTCCAGAACAGACGATGAAGTGGTGCAGAGGTAGGTGTTACTTTCCGTAAGTCCATATACCTTTCTAGAAAACTGCAGTTACTGTATCAGGG